AAAGCTGGAATTCCGTGGGATACAGCGGCCGCAGCCGCGTCTGACATGACGCCTCCTGCCTCCTCCTCCCCCTGCCCCCACTGTTATCAACTTCTCAGTTTACAGGTTAAACTTGAGTCGACAGGCCCTGAGTCGCCCCCTGCTGGCGACCCCCCGCCAGCGGCACGCTGACCCCCGCTGAGGAGCAGCCTGCTGTCCTCCTCATCTGCCACGCTCACCAACACGACACTGCCCTAGCACTACTGAAATCATCCCTGTCTCAATATAAATATCTGCAATAAACCACTCAGCGGGTTAGGATCCTATGCCTGTGATTGGAACGTAACCGGTTCAAATCCCAGTGTCAGCAGACTTTTGTCACTGTCGGGTCCCTGTGCTCCAGGGAACGACCCTTCTCTCACAAAAAATATACACTGCTTTGGATAAAAGCATCCCCTAAATAAATAAATAATAATGTAAACAACTTTATCATAGAGGATGAACATGAGAGCACTGGCACTTTACTCACTGTGCAATGAGCAGCACCCAGGCAGGCTAACTACGGTACAGTCAATACACCCGAAAATAATGAAATCACACATCAAAAACAGAGACAATTCACAGGCTTTATAAACCCTAAACACCGAGTGCTGGCCCGTTTCACAGAGCATTCCTTTTATTGCCTCATTTTGTCTACTAGTCTAGACCAAATGAAATCACTTGAAAGCATAATTAATTTAAGCTTTAAAGAAAGCTGCGAAAAATCCCGCCGGCTCAGTCTGCAGATATTAAAGCTCCTTTTTATGTGTTCCGGAGCGTTCCGTAACGCTGCAAGGGCGAAATGCGCCAGAGTGCCGACGATGGCGCTTTACGTTCTGTGGCTTGTGCCGGCGCATTCGCCAAAACGCCACCGCAGCCCCAGCGGACACCTCAAAGACCCTGAGGAACGCATCACGGGGAAATCCAGCATTTTACGGCAGGCTTCAGGCAATCGTGGCATATCTCCGTATCAGATCAGCTGACACGGACCGTTTTCCTCCGACCGTGGACAATATGGCACAGCAGGGGCGTCAGAGGTCTCGTCCATATTCACAGGTTATCTGTTCTGCTCCGCATCTCCATGCATGCGTGCGATAATCGCACGTCGAGGTACCTAAAAAACAAAGGGGCCACTGTCGAGGCCCCGGAGGAGGCTTCGCTCGCAGCCCAATTCCCCGTCTACGTCGAGGAGAAAGGGGGGGGGGTGTGCGGCCCACATCCCAAGAGTTGCCAGAATGACTGCACCATTATGCGGCGGATTTACAGGAATGGAAATCCGAGCCGAGCGCGGACGGAGCCCGGGCAGGCTCGCGGCAGAGGCCGATTCGCTTTATTTACGATAAAGTCCTCGTACGGAAATGCTGGCCGTGCTGCGGACGTCGGCAGGGTTATTAAACCCACGCACCTGTTTCCAATCTTCATATCGGGCAGCCATTATCTCCGCAGCAAATACAACAAATGTCCAGAGAAATGCACGTGTGAGCCAGGAAAATACCCCGAATGCACAAAGATTGAGCACAGAGCACCAGAAACGTCGTTATTCAACTACAAAAGGATCGTCGCAATCTTAAAAGGACATTAAAGGGGTACCGGCAGGTTGCCACCTTAATTTCCCTGTGCTCATTTCAGTTACAGTACATTTACTTTGTAGCACAATACATCCATCACAAGCCATAGATACACAGTGAGTAATTGTGGCAGTAAAAACATAGTTTTCAAAATATACATAAGTCACTGGGATTGGTTCAGAGTATATAAGTAATCACACAATGGAGGCATTGTTCAGGTCAACATTACCAGTGGGTGCACATGTGCATGTTATAACTAGATGCTGTAAGATTTTCAAGTCCGTAACAAAGGAAACACTTCTATTACGGCGGTACATTCATCCTCTAATCACAAAGATCCAGCCTGCTTTTAAATCCAGCCTTTATCGCATGTGTGTGTGTGTGTATCTGTGTGTAGATGTGTATATGGAAAGATTCCGTCTGCATAGGGACAGACCTGAAAAAACAGATGTCACAGGGATGTCCCTACAAGTTGAACACCTGTTTCAAATAAAAAAGTGCAAAAACCATTTGCGAGTTTTGGTGGTTTGTGTTTACGTATTGCTAATTACGCTACACACAATAGGAGGCAGCCGCAAGGTCCCCGCAAAGCAACTGATGCATGATACGCATGCGTGCATAAATATTTCTGTTTTCCCATCTTGAGTCTGCTTCTTGGTCGTCGCTCCCCCTGCTGTTTCTAATAAAAGCTGTCTGCAGTCTTTCAGGTTGACGTTCAATGCAGTGAAATGTGGGAAAAACAAGTGCTGAGTTTCTGGCCACTGAAGTATAGAGAGATAGGACACAAACATTAAATGGCCTGTTCTAGGAATTCTAGAAGCCAGACCTCAGAAGAGCACTTGAATGATTCTTAGAACTGTTCTTCAACAACGCTGGACAGCCAATCACATGCTCAGGCAGACCCTTGCTGCATGAGTGGTAGAGATAACAGCCTATCATAGTACAGAAAATATTATTGTTGGGGAGCATCATTCTAAATAAAGACCTTGGCTACGTTCAAGCCACTAAGGAATGCTGTCATTTATAACACTTCAACATTGGCTAATGACTTAGATTGAAACATATGGTCCTTTTATTGGGATATATAGTGTATAGTACTTTTATCACTATTCAAAGAATAAATATCCACAAAGTCTTGGTATGTCCTCATCAATCTGCATGCATCACATAAACATTAAGCTGAAGAGTGTTTAAAAGAAATCCATTGATATCTATTTGAGAAAGAACTGATAAAGTGCACAGAGAGCATTCCCTCCCATAAGTGCAGTCCTGCACCCCGGCCCGCCCCCACTGGTTGAGAAGCAGCAGACCTCAGCTGTTAAAACACAGCCCCAGTCCCAATAAAAATGCATCGGACAGAAAGTACAGCCATCTAAATGAGGGCGTGCGCTCCGGAACACCGGGAGCCCAGCCTGGATTTGTTTGAGTGCAGTGGAACGTCACTAATGTCTTGGATGTTAGCTAACCCCCCCTTGGGGTCGACATTCTGCCCCATATCCAAGTCGCAGGCCCTGTTAGCGCAGAGGAACTTAACCTTGCCGCACAAGTCCCTCACGCTGGGTGGTGCTCAGGAAGAAAGCAACACGACTCACACGGCACCTGACTTTACAGCCGTCCTCGTCTGCAGACGGCCTAACTGTACAGGCGCTGTGCGTCTCATTCCAGAAGGATTAACAACAACAACAAGGATCTCTCTGGCTATTCAATGATGTTATCTAACAGGCCCTAATGTGCAATAATCTATCGGACGATAAACTGTTTTTAACGTCTTATGTGAATAAAAGCTAGACGAATGTAGATTAACAAATACAGCGTGACGAATGGCTATTTCATGCTTTAACATAGAGCTGCCAGTGCAGCAGAAAGACATTGGTGCCCCTTTGGCAATAAATCTCCAAAAGCATGTGGCTGTACTCAGAGCAGGACCGTTGGGTTGGGTTTAGAGGTTTCACTGTTTAGGCTCAGCACTCCAAACTGTGAAAGTAGCAGGGGTAGAGCTTCCAGATTAATTTCATTACCTTGTAGCAGAAGGCGAGCAAGTTTCTGACCGTCTGTCTCTGGGGCTTCTTCCCCTAGCCTGCGCTGCCGAAAATCATCTCACGTGACGAAATCGCGAAGCTCGACCTCGGATTTGTCCGATCCTCATATCAAGGGTTGCTCGAAATGAACAGGATGAAAATGAGGCACGTACAGACGCTGCTCTGGAACAAGCTGTGTGTCAAGGAAATGATGCAACGGATTCGGCACGACTGCGTTTGGGCAGTTTGTGGTGATCTGCTTCCCATAAAGCCTGAGATCAACTCCTGTACCTTCCCTCCCAACCGAGCGGTACTCTGGGGAGTGAGAGTACATGCACACTCCTACTCGGTCCTCCTGCTGTTTACATTCCTTCCAGAGTGTCCTGAATACTCCACGATGCCAAGGGCCCAGGGGTGCCTGGTCATGTGTTCCTCCGTTTCTATGTACTTCGGCAACAGGGGCTAATCACAAGAAGCTTCTTCTCAGGTCTCGGTCACTGTGCACGGGCAAGATCATTAGCCGATCATTAGCCCAAAGAAATGTAGAGGAGCCATGAAAGGATTAACTACTGTATCAATACGCCGGCGATGTAATCAGTAGCTGCGACACGCCCTGCCGTTTCTTTAATCAAGCAGGAAGGACTAGCCATTAGCAGCGAGAGCCAGCGACCGCGCTCCCAGCCACTTTCCCATGAACTGTTTTTCTCCGAAGAATGGCGGCACGTGGACAAGAAAGGGCCATGATAAATATCAGCCTGACCAGGGGGGAGCCCACAGCAGGGGACCCATGCACTGTGGAACCTGCTGTCCCTGTGGCAAGGCCTCCCAAGAGGTCGAAGACGCAAGGCCTGCAATCATTACCCCCCCCCCCCCCCGAGGAAAGCGGCGAGCTTGCCAGGGGCTTATCTCTCTTGGGCCACACTTCCTTTAACCCGCCGGACCCAACCCAGTCGACTGAAACTCCTCCGAACAGCACCCCTCGCTGTCCAGTCAGGGTAATGAAAGGGCTCCAGTAAACTACAAGGTCGGAAGCATGGTGTTTAGTCGCCATAAATATAAAATTGCAAAAATGAAATAAATCCCAAATTTTCTTGTCAAGTTAGCTTGTTCTCAGCTCTCAGTAAAAGAAACCATAAACATAGCGTGAGATTAAGTCTTTTTTTTTTTTTTTTTAAATAAACAGAAGCAGAGGAAATAATAACAGCGTTAGCGGTGATTGCAG